AACAACAGGTTCTTGTTAAAGGTGTGTATTCTAATATAGGTTACACAAATGCTGGTGTACCACAAGGAAGTGTGTTAGGTCCTCTGTTATTTTTGGTTTATATTAATGATATTGTTGATAATTTAAATTGTATTTCACGCTTATTTGCTGATGATACCTCTTTGATGTATTCTTCGTCTTCTCATGCTGATATTGAAATGTGTGTAAACAGAGATTTGGAAAAACTTGACAAATGGTCACGGGACTGGCTTACTAAATTTAATCAACAGAAAACTGATGTGTTATTTATATCTAATTCGCGAAATATACTTCCTTTACAGATTTGTTTTGGTACTGAGACTCTGAATTGTGTTGAAAGTCATAAACATTTAGGCGTAATATTTAGTGCAGATGCAAAATGGTCTTTACATATTTCCGAAATTCAAAAAACATGCATGAAAAAGGTATCAGTACTACGAAAGTTTAAATTACTGTTGAGTAGGAAAACTTTGTTAAGAATATATAAAGTATTTGTGTTGCCTGTGTTGGAATATGCCTGTGAAGTTTGGGATGGTTGTTCTCTGGCAGATCTAACTAAACTTGAACAAGTTCAGCTTGAAGCAGCAAGAATTATTACTGGCCTACCGTCTTTTTCTAGTAAACAATCACTGTATCAAGAATCCCAACTTGAACCTCTATCTGAAAGAGGAAAACTTTAGAAACTTTCCCTAATTTACAAACTCCATAATAAACAAACACCTTCTTATTTAACTAACATTCTTCCTCCTAAAGTATGCGAACGCAATAGCTAAAACTTAAGAAATACGGAAAACTACACTGTTCCCAATTTCCGTCTGTCTAGTTCATTCCAATCCTTTATTCCTTCTTCTATAAGACTATGGAACGATTTACCAAATACTGTCAGAGAGCAGCCATCCGTTAACATTTTTAAATCATCGATTAAGCGTAATCAAGGTTACTTGTTGCCTATTTTTTTTTCATGTAGGAAATCGTAAACTAATATTTTACATACACGATTGCGTCATTCATGTAGTAGTTTAAATTATGATTTGTATAGAGTTAATATTGTAGGTGATCCAATGTGTGCATGTGGAAATGAGTGTGAAAATGCAGTCCATTACTTTTTTGATTGTATGCTGTATATCAGACAAAGACAAATTTTGATTGATGATATCTCACGTTATTGTAATATTTCTCTAAATGTTATTATGTACGGTTCTCCAAATTTGTCAGATGAAGACAATGAAAATATCTTCCATATAGTCCAAACCTACATTAAAAATAGTAACAGATTTTAAGGTCAGTAGTATTATCCTATCATCTCTCTTTCTTATTCTTCTAAATTTCTTTTCTTCCCTTTTCCCTTCCTTTCTTCTTTGTTCATATATATTATAAATATATTTGTTGTTGTTGTCATGTAATCAATATAATGAAATGTATGGGAGAGGGCGTTTCTAAGTTGAGATAACTTGTGCCTAATCCTTTTTGTTGAATGACAAATAAAAAATGTTTAAATCAAATGCAAAAATATGCGACAAATGTAAGATTAACATAATTCATATTTTTATTCCTCCATAAGTGAAGAGCTTTATATGCATAATGAACAAGTAGTGACGTAGAAAATAAATACGTGAATACAAATATTAATTTGACAAAATAGACAAACATATAATTATATCATTGAAAAATAAAAGGGCTGCTTTTTTAAAGTTGAATAGCGGAAAAGAAGAGCAAAAAAAGGGAGAAAAATAGAGTGAAATGTAAAAAAGACGCCACATTACAAAACATGATAGTTTTAATAGCGTAAAAAATATATTATTCGTTCAGGATTGCAGCAATAAAAAAACATAATTGAAATGTTCAAAAGGGGCCATTGACAAATTACAAAGAGGTTACGGACAGGTGTTCTACAAGGGTAAACGTCTTCGGCTTTATCAGTCGATTACACCCGCCATGTTACTCTGTGTCAAATCAAAACCACAATGGCACGTACTCGAAGCAAGAACCGGGTAGTAACAGCGAAACAGCAAAGCTCACTAACGATCATAATCAAATAACATTGACAATCATTTTATCACAAAACAAAAACTCCAAATGATATTGCGACTATAAATTTTGCCCATAGTTTTTATCGGCCTGCATTAGATTAGATTAAATGAAATTATCAAAGTCCGTTGTGTTATCTCCATCAAGTTCCAGACTTTGTGATTAAATAGGACTATGTTACAGTTCAATCTGATTAATACCAGCTGATATCACCAGAGACG